GAGACTACTAAACGTGCCTGGAAGCTAAAGAAAACAATTCGTGTAGCGTGTGGATTTTTAATCTGCCGCGTGTGGAACGCACATAGTGCACGCCATGATGCTAGCAGTGACGTACTTATTTACGTCATAGTTCCTATTGTGAAAGTAAAGTCGATCATATAATGTTCCCATGCTGGAGGGTCCGAGTCGTAAGCTGTAATCAATTGTTTTTATTTTCGTAATAATGTATTTTAAATAAATAAAAACGTAAATTCGTAGACATGGGCAAGGTGTAAAAAGTAATCAGCTATTTTATTCGTCCGTAATTTGTACAAATATATTATTTTTTTAAGCGTATAAAGCATTTTCCAAATTAAATGTCGTAATTCGTACGCAATTTCCAATTTTGATTCTTAAACACAAATTATCAAACATATTATAAAAATGTAAAATGCAATTAAGAATTTGCTTTATTTGTAACGTGTAAAAACCTATTTTTTAATGTAAATGGAACTTTTATTTTATTTCCTGTAAAAACGTAAAATGCCGTTTTTATTTCATGTAACGTGTACCAGCTATTCCCCTTGCTGTGATTATTCTTTACAAACATAATTCACATTTTTTCTTGACTGTCTTATACAGGCATATTCTCCACCAATCTGTCACACATTAAACAACTACTATCAGATTCAGAACACGACGGACGCATATTGTTGCATCACGTGTCCGACGACGTCACCAACGACACAACATATGACTCCTTATCGTCAATAACTTTCACAATGATATATTGGTTGAACATGTTTCGATGGCATAAAACGCCCAGGTGTCATTACGTGACATAAATATTTTGTGTGATAACATCGACAAGTTTTTTTCTCAGCAATTGAAACGAACAAGTATAATACCTACATGATTTGTAAATGTAATCATAGTAAATTTTTTGGCTGCGGCTTCCACGTATAGCACTCACAAATACATTAATTAATTTTATATTATTATCGTTAATCGTTACAGTACATATAATTATAGTACGACTTCATGGAGTTCGGAGGCACAAATTTCGATATGACATCGAGAACGAAACTAACTCCACGTTTGTATAGTTAAATGTCAAATCGTGCATCAGACTTGATGGTGGGATTTCTGATTACTTTCCTTGTACCATTGGTGTTAGACAGGGCAGTGTATCGAGTCCTGTTCTTTTTTCTTTGTTTATAGATGAATTATATAATATGATATGATTGGGAATGTGGGATACAGGGGGGTTCAGCTAACGCAAGAAATGTTTGATTTATTTGCTTTATTGTATGCCGATGATGTAGTCATATTTGCCGATTCAATTGTGGGATTACAGCGGCTGATTAATATTTTAAAACGCTTTTGTATTAAATGAAAACTAACTGTAAATAAAAAAGAAAACTAAAATTGTAGTGTTTCGGAAAGGTGGCCATAATTCAACTAAAGAAAGATGGTTTATGAATGATGAACCAATTGAAACTGTAAATTCCTACAAATATCTTGGGTTATTGCTGTCATGTAGAAACAGCTGGTCTAAAGCTGTTGCAAATTTGGCCGCACAAGCACGCAAAACAATGTTTTCTTTATTTAGGTTTGAGTATAAAGTTGGTATACTTAATTATGATGTTTATTCAGA